ATTCAAAGAAATGACATAGTCTTTCGCAACGAAGAACAACAACATTCCTTCAATTTTCCATATCAACTGGGCACCGGTTCATTCGACACTCCACAAGATGCACAAACGTATACAATCAAAATTCAATGCGGGGATATAATCATACTCGGATCTGATGGAATATTTGACAATCTATTCGAGGATGATATATTAGAAGAAATTAACCGGTTCATTTGCCCGAGGAAAGGTACCCTTAGGGTTAAACCGCAGATAATCAGCGATGCACTAGCATATCGAGCAAAGAAAGCAAGCGAAGATCTTAACAATTCAAGTCCATTTCAATGTCGTGCCATGCAAGAAGGCTTATACTATGTTGGTGGAAAGAAAGATGATATAAGTGTCCTGGTGGGAGTTGTGACGGATTCGAAAGAATTTTCAAACTGATTATCCCATGCGGTCATATGCAAGAATGGTTGTGACTGTTTCAAAAGAAAACACAATTGCGAATTTATGACAACATAGAATAAGCTGAAAGATGCATAAGTTCAATAAATTAAAGTATATACATTATACTTATATATTATAATGTAAATAGTCGATATATTGTATACGACAGAATGCCTGTTATTCTCATTGTTTTTAACAATTACATTGGTTCTTGTATCGATCACCTGAACGGCAAGGTTTATTTGAAGTATAATTATGGAATATGTCAAACCGGATATAGGTATTTGATTTATAGGTTTCTGGACGTCCGGATAATTGTGCAAATCACCATTATTTCGGGGGAGTTCAATAATTCAAAGGTTTGTTCCGCCCTCCGAAGATAATTATCCAAATATGTAAAACAGAATGGGTTTACTCTGAGAGCCTGAGTAGGTCACGTTTTACGTGTTTAATGAAATTTTAAACGCACATAAAATGGGATTCGTGTAACCCTATAAAAAATCCGATTTGGTATTTCTCCACCATTTATTGCATAGCAAACATATATGTAATTGAACAAATATAGTAAACCAGAGAGATATTAAATAATTTATACATGTAACAAAACAAAAAAAATAATATATTTTTTTAATAAAAAATAAATTCTGAATATTATCTCATTTTTTTTTTTTTTTTTGAAACCAAAAATTAAATTCTCAAGTGTCTACATAGTTTTTAACTGATAACTTGCACTCACAAAAAATCCATATATTACATTCATTTATGAATGAATGACGTTTATGAAAGATATCATTTTAAGATTTTTGGGGGAAATCGGATAAAGAACGATGATAAGCAAATAAAAACACAAAGCCTTTTGAATTCGAACCTGAAAGTGATTTATTAGACATTTGATCAAAAAGATATTACGACTTCTTCCGATTATGCTATCTCGCGGCATTCTCCGATTAATTATGTGTCCTTATCTTTCTACGTTATCTAATATATATATATATCTATATTTTGAAAAAAAAAAGAGAAGAAAACAAAATCGAAACATTTTTCAGATATTTTCGAAAATGATTTTTTCTTTTTTTTTAAAAAAAAAATATAATTTATTGGATGAGTGAAAAAAAATTTTAAATTGTCGTATGATTACAATGTAAGCTTAGTGAGTGAATGTATAATCGGTTTTTCTTTATCGTTATTGTATCGATTACCCCATCCAGTAAACATATATGTATAATATCCGAATGTATGCTTTCACATAAATGGAAAAGAGCCGAATCACAAGATTAATGTGTGAGAACTTGTATGTGTAATCGTTGCATAATTATCATTAAATCAGTGTGTTAATACTGTGTGCTGTGCGTACGTAACAAAACTTTCTCCATTCTAAGATCTACCCAAACACACATGCATTAATCACAGAATAAATAAAGTAAAATCGGATAAACACCAAGAATGTGGCACAATTTGTACTTGAATCGAAACCTATTTTTTTTTTTCCACTTCACTTCTTTTCTTCCCTAATCTACTTTATCACTTACGCTCGACATGGGTCAATCAAATAGTAATAATGGTGGCGGTGGTGAGGGACGTCGCCATCGTAAAAACAAAAATTCAAGCAAAAGCGGTGAAATCCATGGTAGAAAAAATTCGAAAAATGATATCCCAGACAGGATTGCGATAGAGCTAGAGAGAAAGAATTTTACAAATATCGAAAGTTTTTCATTGCAGGCTACCTTTGAGAATATATGTAAGGTTGACGAATACGGGGTCGAACTTATTGACGAGGAATCTTTTGTTGTAAGTAATACTTTTTTTCTCGTTTCGTTTCACGTTGCTATTGTTTTTTAATCATCTGTTTCGTACAACTTGTGTGAACATGAACAGAGTTATATAGGATTCCCAGAGGCGACTGGATTTGGATCAATGGTCTATCGCTCATTCTCATACCTTGCCGGTTATCCCGATTGCAAACGTTCCAATACGCCACTAACCTATGAAGGATTTTTAAAAGCCGTTGCCATCTATTGTGACAAGTGTAAAGATGTAATTAAAGAAGATCGAACAAAACTTCTCTTTGATTCATTTTCCGTCTCTGAAGATGACAAATGTAGTAAATCCGTTTGTGTCACCGAAAATCCTGATCTTTCGAAAATTCCTGATGATGAATCAAGTAAAAATGGTACTAAAGTCACATGTGATGATATGTGGTCAATATTGACGGGAATCTGTTGGATCACGGATAGTGAATTATTATATTTTTCAACAAAACCCGAACAGTTTGCCGCAGTCTCGGCGAATCTAATGTCACCCGAAACCATTAAAGAAATTCGCAAAATTACTATTAAGGTAGTGGAATCAATGGCACGTAGCGATACTAGTTTAAAGAACCTCAATTCTGCAGAAATATTAAAGGAATCAATTAAATGGCCAGTGTTTAGAGATTTTATAAGAAGGAACACCCCAAACATATTTCATGGCTTTACGCCATTTTTCTACACGTTATTTTGCATCGGTCAGACTCTATCACAAAATCGGGGATCATCACTAATTGGATCGCACGCAAATTACTGGCCAACCCTGGATGGCCCTTCGGAATTGCTGAATTACGAAAACGCGGCCTTACTATTATGGATGTTACCAAAAAAGACAACAATCGGAAGAGGATGGAATGTTTTGTATACAGGAAGCACACACGGTTTCAGCATGAATCGTTTTGAAAGTCACGTATTCAGATATCCTGGTCCAACTCTAATCCTGATCCATGCAGAAATCGTACCACCCAAAAGGAGTTCATCAAGTTCCATACCGATTACAAATCATAATGAAAGAAATTCGCAAACCATTCTTTTGGGAGCATATGTGGCAGACCCATGGCGCTCAACAAGTTCTCCAAAACAATGTTTTGGATCAGAAGAATGTTTTTTATTTCAACTTCTGCCGACATATGAAGTCTTTCGCACTACCAATAAGAACACAAACTATGCTTACTATAATCCTTCTGTAGGAATTGGGTTTGGTGGGTTGGCCACGTCGGGATTGACATCGAGTAAGATTGAAAATATGATGAAGAATTCATTTGTTCTGCAACTTGACAATACTCTACAGTCAGGGAGATTTAAGGTTGATCCATTGAGTGGTCTTGCTCCTACGTATTCTTCATCGACAGTTAGTAGTTAACAATTTAACAATTGGTTTTTCCTTTTTTTTTTTTTAAAAAAAAAATTTTTATCTAATTGATCGTTGATTTATAGACGCGATCATCCATTGATATTATATTCGAAGTATTGGGTTAGTGAGAAACAAATGTTTATACTTGTTAATCTTTCAATTTATCAATTCGCATCTATCCTTTCCGCAGAAATCGAAGTTGTGGGAGCGGGAGGAAACAGCGCCAAAGAAAAGCAAGATAAAGAGTGGAGATGGGAAGAAGCTGAAGCGACCAAAAGAAAAAGTCTCCGAAGAAGTTCAAAATCTGTTGATAAGGAAATTCTCAAGGTCTGAATTATTCGCACGAGTTTCATTTATCTATCTAATTTCACATATTCATTAAACTGTTTTTGTTTAACTCAGCTTGCCGGTATCATCAATGAGGATTCCCGATCGGAGCGATAAAATATTTTCTCGTGTTTCATGTGTGTAGTATCGGGAGAAACAGATTTTTTTCAAGATTGTATGCTTGTATGTCGAGAGAGGGCAGGATACAAAAAAAAGATTAAAACTCGAATAAAATTTTTAATGTATAATAGTATTCAAGTTCATAGCCTGATATGCGATACGCCTATTCACATGACAGAGGGTTTGCTTGTGAAACTTTGAATAAAACTCATTACGTTTATGATAAACGCATGTAACGCAGTAAAATCTATTGTGATCTTCCATTTACATGACAGAAGAAACCTATTTTTTTTAATTCTAACCAAAGATGGCCCATGTAATTAGAGCTTTTTCTACTACGGCTTCGCAATATGCCAGAAAATTAAAGATTGGATTAATACCAGCAGATGGTATCGGAAGAGAAGTAATCCCTGTGTGTATTTTCATTTGCTTGCTATTTAGTTTTGCCTTGCGTTTTTTTTCTTTTTTTTTTTTTTGCATTCTTATCAATCGGATTATTTATTGAATAGGCAGCGAGGCAAGTTCTAGAAGCACTTCCAAGCAAAAACGACCTGAAGTTTGACTTCATCGACTTAAACGCCGGCTTCGAATATTTTCAAAAGAATGGAACAGCCTTACCTCAGGAAACGTTGGAAATTTTGAAGAATGAATGCACTGGAGCACTTTTTGGAGCCGTTAGGTATTCGGAAAAACAACTCAAGTTTTACATAACACACGCATTTACAGTAAATAAATCACGTGAAATTTCCCGAAATTGGTTTCCAGCTCCCCATCTCACAAGGTCGCTGGCTATTCATCCCCCATCGTTGCATTAAGAAAAAGTCTCGACCTTTACGCAAATGTGAGGCCCGTCGTATCAGTTGCGTCAGATAAGACTCCTGATCAAAAACCAGTAGATATCCTGATTATCAGAGAGAACACTGAATGCTTGGTGAGAAAATAAAGATTTATTATAGATTTTACCCTCTCACCTCTACTCTCACAAATTATTATTCTTCATCGATTTTCCGTTATTTGCCCGAAACGAAAAATAGTATATCAAACAAGAACGCCTTACTGTAGATGAAGCAACGGGCCTAAAGATTGCATGGGCCGATCGAAAAATTTCAGAGTATGCATCACGTAGGAGTGGTAAGATCGCATTTGAGATGGCATTGGGAAGGGATAAAATTCGACAGGGTATACCACTGGAGAAAAGGTTATGGAAAGCAAAACCAAAGGTGACGATCGTTCACAAATCAAATGTGCTGAGCACCACCGATGGTTTATGGCGAGAGACAATTAGGAGTGTTAAGGAAAACGATCGCAAATATGACGGTGTTGACATGGATGAACAAATTGTTGATTCGATGGTGTATGAATTTAATGCTCTCTTAAATTATTTATTACCATATGGGGAGTTCGATTGACATATTTTATTTTCACCTGAACCCTCTGGTGATTGAAGGTACCGACTATTCCGTGAACCACACGAATTCGATGTTGTTGTCGCGCCGAATTTATATGGTGACATCATCAGGTTGATTTTTGATATAAACATATATGATGATTTTTAGCAAATTATTTAATTGTTTACAAAAATTCACTACTACTTAACAGTGATGGGGCTGCTGCATTGGTGGGCAGCTTAGGTGTTGTCCCAAGTGCAAATGTTGGAGACAATTTTGTAATCGGTGAACCAGGTAATCTTCGAAGAAACGTATTCGGTCGTTCGGACATGGTCAATAATTAAACTATCTCCATTACCGAACAGTTCATGGATCAGCTCCTGATATTGTCGGACAAAATAAGGCTAACCCAATTGCGGCGATTCGCAGCGCGGGATTATTACTAGAGCATTTGGAATTAAGCGAAGAAGCGCGCTTAATTTATAATGCCGTAGATGATGTATTGAGAATTGGTGAAACTTTGACACCTGACCTAGGTGGAAATGCCACAACCCAGCAAGTTACCGACGCTGTTATTAAATCCTTAAACTCTTAAATATCAGGGTGTGATGTTATTGTGCAAATTCAACAGTGCATTCAATAAAAAGTATATTTCGTGAACCACAGTTTGAAATAGACACGTATCTTTAACTTATCAATAAATCTTTTATATGTTTTTTTTACAAGAACAAATTAACAAGAGATATTCGAATCAGATTATCTAAAATTTAAAACCATTTATTTAGATAATAAAAAATACCCGAATCATTTTTTATTTTAATTTTTTTAATTTTTTGATTATTTAAGATCATCATCCCTACGTATAAGAATACATCAGAATGAAAACAAAAATCTCAAAGATAAATTTGTTACGTGAAAAAAATCATTTTTGATTTCTTACAATTGGATTTATTATTATTGATTGTTCCCAAAAAAAATAATTATAACAAATTGTCATAATATTATAAATTGATATTTAATTTATTTAATTGAAAAAAAAAATTTCAAAAAGGTTTACATCCATATTATATTAAATAAAAATATTTTTTGTTAAAATATTTTTATATTTACACGTGATGTTTGTTTTTGGTTAAAAATCATTGATTGGGTAGCTAGCGATCGTGTTTCGATGTTTTGAATTCTTGATCCATAGGAATTTGTAAAGGCAGATTTTCACAATATGATCCTAAACGAAGGAATGCTGGTGTCTCAACAAGATAATTCATCTTCTCTAAAGAAAGTGTTGGAGATGGCCGAGAAAATCGGATATGTTAATGTGAATTATAAATGAATTTAAGAAATTGGAAGTTTGATCAGAGAATTTTTACAAACGCGTTAATAAAATAATTGAACATGAATAGGAAGATGGTCCTTTTTCGTCGAAAACAGAATCCTCTATACAATTGGTTGATTTGTTGAGTGAAATACTTTCACTCCGTGATCAGAGTGAAAAGGTTTGTTTTTTATTTATCTAACTCACAACAATAAACTTTCTAATAGATCATTTCAACTTAGATTCGTGAAGAACTAACAAAAATCAAAGATTTTCAAACGAGCTTCGATCTGGTTAATGAATGTGAACTTGGTAGATTTCTAAACAACTTGGTTAAATGCGACAAGTCATCTTTGTTAGAGTAATTAAAGCCATCTTTTCATTTAATACAGAAAAAAAGATTAAAATATTCGCGGATTTTAGTAAACATGTGGAATCCATCATCTCAAATAAACAAACTCTTTTGATGAGACTTAGAGATCCCTTTGTCGGCGAACATATCAACATCGAGCCAGAATATCACAAGTATTACTAATTCAATATCCATGCACATTGCTTATGATCTCATATGGTTATTCATCTAATCAAAATATGTCGTAATTAAATATAGAGATTTCGTGGAATTGTTTCCATTAATTGCACAAAGCATCGCTTCGTTACCGCATGATTTGGAGAGTATTCAGTGGTTCGAGTGTCACGATATTGCCAATGAAACAATAGTAATTATAATAATATTGATTTCGTCGTTCTCTTTATATTATATCCCAATTTAGTGATTCTAACATTAAAACATTAGGATTCGCAAATCTCGGAAATATCATCACTGATTGCAATGTTTGGAAATTATTCTGACTGCCTTGATCGTGTAAGAATGGCTTTAAAGGATATTCAGAGTATCACCAAAGGAAAGAAAAAAGTCACGATGTAGTGAAGTTCATAGTATATCAATTACCAAAGACAATGATTTAAATACAAGTCGTACGGCGAATGACCATAAGCATAGTTATTGCGAAAAATAAGAAATTATTTTAGAAATAAGACATTACGTATTTTAAAATGTTACGTGAGTGATACGTACTAAATATGGTCGATCTCAATAAATTCAGTGTCACAACATAGAATGTTACTTTTACGCCATTTTCAATTTCTTCATTTTAAATGTAGGTTTCTTGTGTTGAAAAGGATGCTTCATAGCTGTTTTATCTAGTGATTTATAACATATATCTATAGAGAAAAGCTTATGATTATTAATGCCTTTGTCCTATAGCACATTTCAAAGATGGAAGACGGAATCTCATCGGTTCTAGAGTCACTGTAACTAGTTGAACCTTTCATTATTTTCTTCCATTCGAATCTCCGTTTTTAACTATTATACTTGAAAATTAAAGGATTAAGTCTGATGGTGTTAAAGGGGTTTTAATTGCCGATGAGCATGGCTTATGTCTTGGAGGTAACATTTTCATTCACATACTCTTTAGCATAAAATAACTATATTATCTTTGATTTAGTTAATTCTTACAATTTTGAATATAAAAGCTAGAGGAACAGCGAAAAACCACTGTTCCGGCATCATCACCGCAATTGCCACACATGCTAAAACTTTACAAGATGATCCGGCTTCGAAATCTCCTATCATAAAGATAGAAGTCGATAATTCGTGAGTTCTCTCGTTGTTGATTTTCAAAGTTTTGTTCTGTTATTTATTAAACCTTGTTATTTATAGGACAATATTGATAATAAATGACGATGGGAATCGTACTCTTGCCGTGTTTAAATGATTTTCGAAAAAAAATGCTTGAACTGGTATGAATTAGCACATAAAATCGTATCACATAATTTCTACCAGAAAGATGGCTTTCCTGAAATATTTGAAATTTAATAAATACACTATACAAGACATAGTGAAAAGTTTATTTTTAGCTTATCGTGTATTGAATAGCCTAAACTATGAATTACTGAAAATTGGAACTTAATAGATCGACAACATCGTATTTTCTCTTTGTCGAATAAACACGCTTTACATAATGTAACAAAAAATTTCGATGTCTATTCGTTATTTTAGTTTCTCTTTTTTAGAATATCATATCACTGTATTATTATGTGTTAGTTAACTTTAGTAAAGTAAAAACCTTAATTATGAATAACAAAAATAATAATTACTGTATTATTTATTATTCTTGATTATTTTGTGACCGATTAATAAATCGTGAATTCAAAAATCCTGTATAATATGGTGACATTGATTAATTTGAAGGTTTGATGATTTTAAAAAAAATTCAAATCAAATTGTAATAAACAAATTCCATAAGTAAATTTCATAAATCTATTAAAAATTATATGCGAAAATAAAATGAATAAATAAATACAATATCATCAGTATTACAGTATTTTTAAAGAAGCACAAAAATCATAAAAAATTTTTATTTGTATAATATTGTTTAAACAAAAAATATAAATAAAAAATATATAACATTATAATCTGTTTTTTTTTTTTTTATAAACATTGTCAAAGTTTACTTTATTGAATTTATTAGTTAATACTTGTATTTGAAATTATAAAATCTACTTTTACTATGTATATCCATGTTAAATCTTATAATAAAGCAATTTTATGAATTAAAATAATCTTAAATTCTATATAACTTGTTGTTTTCCAATTAAAAAGCTAATATACTTAAGTGTTATTAGTGTATTTTTTCTTTATTGATGAATTGTTAAAATCTTATTTGGATTTTTGTATAAATTATTTTACAAAAAAGAAATTAAAACTGAAAGTAATACTATTCTTTAATAAATAAGATCTTTTTACAAATAATAATCACAAAAATTTAGTTTAAATCAGTTTTAATTAAAACCAAAATTAATCTGATTTATTTTTTTAAACTAATCAATTTTAATTTTTTACAAATCAATCTAAATCAAAAACTAATTAATTTAATTTTTTTGTAAATTAAACTAATTTAATTCAATTTATATAAACATAATTTTTATTAAATTATTTTATTATAAATTTAATTTTTTTAATTATTATAGTTGTTAATTGTTTAGTATAATTTTTTTAAATTTGTATTTATATGGTTTAACTTTTTAAGTTATTATATTATCAATTATTTATTTAATTCAAATTAATATAATTTATATTTTTAAAAATAAAAAATAAATTTAAATAATATCAATTAATTTATTATATCAATAAATATAAAATTTATTGTCAACTGAAATTATTTTTTTTAAAATTTTTTTAATTAAATTTTCAAGTATATACAATATAAGTAAATCTTGTTACAATTGATTATAATAATATTTTATATAAACTTTTTTTTAATATCTTTTATTATTATTATTATAATTATAATTTTTTTGAAATAAAATATATTATTATATCCTCTATTAATAAAACAATTATATTATTATATAACTTATATTTTAACTAACAAAAAAATATATTTTCTATTTTAATAAAAAATATTAAATTTATTTAATATGTTCTATTTTTTAAATAATTAATATTATTTTGTTATTTCTATTTCTATTTTTTAATTGATTATATAAAAATCATTATTATCAAAATATTTTTTTTAATATACAGTATAATATAAAAGTTTTTAAACTAATTTTAGTTTTTAATTTTATTTATAAATCAACAATTAATTAGTAAAATATAATAAAAATTTGGATAAAAAACCTATAGAATAAGGTTACTTAAGAAACTTTTTTAAATATATTATAAATATATAATTAAATTTTGATTCAAAGTTAAAAGTATACTTAAAAGTCATATTCAAAATTCTATTGTATATTATAAATTATAAAAAATTAATAAAATTATTTTAATATTTAGATTTGTTAAATAAAAATAAAAAAAAAATAAAAAAACAAATTTTTTGTAATTTTTTTATTAATTAAAAAAAATTTTATAATGTAAAATTAAACAAAAAATTTTATAATAAAATCGATTTTTTAAAATTAATTTTACAAAATAAAAAAGTTATTAATTCTATAAAATTAATTTACTGTATATATTATAAAAATTTAAAAAAAGTCAATAAAAGATCTTTTTTAAAAATCTTAAAATTAATATTTTATAATAAATTATTAATATTAGAGTTACAAAATTATTTTATTAAAGTTTTATTAAAATTAAATTGAATTATAATAAAAAATATTAGTTCAAAAACTTTTGCAACATATTATATATTAAATTTAATATTTAAATTATAACTTATTATTCTTTTTAATAGTGTTCTGAATCTTATACAAGTTTATATAAGTCTGTTCAATTCCAATTTTCAGAACTATAAATAAGTATATCTATATATATAACTTAATTGATAAAATTAAAATATTAATTAATATATTAAAAATATAAAAAATTAAAAAACAATTTTAAAAATAATATATCTATATATCTTTTTACTTATAAAAAATTAATTAACAGTTATTAAAACATTAATAATAAATAACTAAAATTTTTAAAACTCTTTTTCACTTATTTCTATTTTATCAAAAAACTTTCTTGTTTAAAAATTTTCTGTAACAATATAAATGGTGAAAGGAGTGACACAATATATGTCACACAAGCGGCACAGTTAAGCTAATAGAGGAAGCATTGCAATTGGAATACAACTATTCAAACTGTATCTCTTTAGGATATCTGGAACTTAAAATATTAATGGAACTATATTTCTATAAGTCATACGGATATTTGTCACATTCTGTGATGACTAGAACCCAAGTTAAATATGGAATTATCATTAGTATCTGGTAAAATACCAATAGGATCTTTATTATTAATCTTATTTGACTTATTTGGGTTATAAGGGATATTTCTATA